CCCCAAAACCCCAAAACCCCAAAACCCCAAAACCCCAAAACCCCTTCAAAATGCCTCCAGATGGAAGTATTTCACCATATTTTTATTAAAATTGGCTGGGTCATAGGACAAGTCAATATTTTTGTATTTACATTGACATCCCCTATTCCATAGCAAGCTGAGCTATAGTTTTGATTTTTGGCCTTGTACAAATTCTGATGTTCTGATGTCGTGGAGTAAATGAGTAAGAAAAACGTAAGAGATTTGAAATTAAAAATTATTTAATTTCCAGAAGAAGGTAAAGTAACATGAAGAGAGAAATCTAAGTAATATAGTCACCTAATAACATGGATGTTGGATTGAAATGAAATTAATAATGCATGCTGCTGTATTGGAATCTGTAGATCTAGCTTCCACTGTTTAGTTTTAGCCAGACCTTCATTTTATCCAAACTCTGATCATACCTCTGAGAGTGGATATGAAAAGAGAGTGAAGATTTTGGTTGATTTATTTTCAAGAATTTGTCATCTTGGAGTTGTTTGAGAGTTTGCCCGTAAAAATACTTCCTGTCACAATGCTCTAAGAACTTTTGACACTTTCCTCCGTAGTGAGAGAAGACTGCTATGTTTATTCCAAGAACTACCAATCCTAGGGCCCACACTCTTGTTTTGGAAGCCATCGTCAAAGAGGTAGAGTAAACTGAGATTGGAAACAAGCCAAGAGGTGCAGCCATTCCAATTCCATACTTTAGTTGTCCTCTGTTAATTTTATCAAAAGAGTCTAAGTCTGAAGGCTTCAACATTCTACGGTTGTGTTTAATTTTCTTAAAAATAGCTCAAGACCTCTGAATACGAGTACCTGCAATCTTTTGGGTGAGATTCATAACAGGCGAATACATCCCATCAATCTTGTGTTCCATGGTGTCACTATTACTGTTCTCCTGTTGATTACTTATGTGATTCCTTCCTTCAGGAAGTATTCTATTCTCAAGGTGTTCATCAAGCTTAAGACTGTGGGGATTGAAAGAAAGATTAACTTCTGAAACCTCTTCTTCTTGAGTTCTTTTTGAGTATTTCTTTGCGTTAATGCCAAGTATGATAGCTAAGCTTAAGCATACACCACACTTCGGAGCAGTCTTTCCAAGAGTCTCAGGAGTAATTGGATACTTTGTTGATGTAAAACTTCCAAATTTATATTGGAAGAAATTGGTGATTTTTTCTTTAAAGCTGGGTTTTTCTTTAGTAATTCGTCCACTATTTGCAATCATTTTTAGTATAAATTTTAGTATTATTTATTATTCCAACTTTATTTGTTTTGATGGGGTTTTGGGGTTTTGGGGTTTTGGGGTTTTGGGG